TTGCTTAATGCAGTTAATCAAAAAAATATTTTTAGAAGCAGGATATTAGAATTTGCTGGACCATGGGGAAAATAATATGTTGTCCAGGTTGCTTGACATTAGCTCTGAACCAAAACCTTTATCTCATTAAGGTGGCAGTTTTGGTGTTGACTGTAACCCATGATTTTACATGGTTTTCATTTCTCCCAACAGAGCACCCATGCTGTAAAAATATACTGTCCATCTTTTAAAAGCCATGATTTTAGCAATAATATAGAATTTGGAACTGATAAAGAGCCTCCAAGTTCCCTGTTTCCTTCTTTATCTGTGGTCCTTTCTTTTTACTCTTCTCCCCATCCCACACTCATTCCCTGTGTAGTCTGACACCTTCCCCGATATCAGCTTCAGAAATCTTGCAGAGACATAACAAATTAAAAAGGATAATGCCTTACTTGACACAGTGAAATCTGTTACCTGGGATTTACTGCATCCGTGTAAAGGTGGCGTCATGTACTATCTAGGGCAGCCTGCCCCATCCTTCTGCCTGTCCATAGGACACCAGGTTGGGAAAAGCTGAGCTAAGCGTGGTAAAACATAGAAAGAACCTCCAAGAGGGTGTTTCATTTTAGCAACTGTCCATTTTTGTCTTCCAGAATTTGTTCCCCAGGCTTTTGGAATGCCCCTATCACAAGTAATAGCGAATGACCGGGCCTACAAACTGAAGCAGGATACGCAGAAGGAAGAACAGAGGGATGTTTCAGAATTTGTGGCTTCCCTTTTACCATTTGGGAATAAAAGGCAGAACAAAGAACTCTCAAGTAGTAACTCATCTCTTAGCTCCACCTCAGAAACGCCCAACGAATCTACTACACCAAACACTCCTGAGGCTGCTCCACGGACAAGGAGGAGAGTAAGTTTCCTGTTAATTGACTGATGCATGTTGCATGAATTGGGACTTTCTCAGGCACTGCCTTGTTTTCAGAAATTGGAATCCCAAGTCTGTTCAACCATAGTAAAAGTCAGCCCTGATGGAAATGATAGAAGTTGCAATTTTAACGGTCATCTCTCTTTCCCAGCTGTTCGTGGGAGAGAACGAGATGGACACAAGTCTCTTGCCAACACCTCAGGGGACACAAGGATTCTTTGGAAACTTTCCTTTTCCCCAGTCAGATTCTGGTTGGTCTTTCAAATTATTAAGGAACAAACTCATTTTTCTCTTTCTCTCACTTTCTCTCTCTCTCTTAAAGCTGCTTAGAGTCTCACTTACGAGACTGAATATTCACACAGTTATTCATTACATCCTCAATGTATGATTACCTTGCAGAAATCATATCCAGGCATTTTTTTAAAAAAATCATCTGAATATGTGTTGCTTAAATAGGTGAAAAAATGAAACTACTGAGGTTCATAAAATAATTAAACTTTCAACATATGTAATTGGACCATGACTTTATTAGGAACAATCAAATATCACAAAACAGAGAGTAAGCTTTTTGAGTTTTCCAGAATCCTGGCTTGATATTGAAGCCACATATCAAGGGAATGTAGGGGCGTCTTTCTCCCCTACCTTTTTTCAAAAACATCCCAGCTGGATCACAGCTTTTGGGAAATTAAAAAGCGTGTCCACTGTTTTGTAAAATTGTGCTTGGTCCTAATACAAGTATTTGCTAACTACAGAGTTTGGTATTTTTCTTATAGACCAACGCAGCCTTTGTTTTTACAGTATGGTCCATGTAGATTTCTGGAGGACGTATCTGGAACTTTCTTTTGGCAAGGCCCAAGAAATTATGCGGGTGCAGGTTGTTTCTGGGCAAAATGCTCATGTGTTCTTGGATACCTGAAGTTGGTGGGGTCTTGGATGGAATCTTGGGCCTGCCACAGTGACAGTAAGTGCCCAGCTGCTACCTCGTTGCACAGTGCCTGGAAAAGGCTGCTTTGCTTTCTGTAGACTAGACTGTTTTCCAGAGCCAGCACCCCAAGCCATTCCACTGTTATAGAGGCTAAAACAGTGGTTATTCCTGCTTAATGTCAACTAGACTTATGCACAGAGATAGCAGAGATAAGGTAGTAAGGAAATGATCTTTCGGGAGCTGTGTTGGCAAGCTAGAAGCTAAGGGTAAAACATCCACTGACAACAGATGTCCTAACGCCAGGCATAAGGGTTATCCTGCTAAAAATCACCTATTCCCCTACTCCTTTGTAGGCTTGGAAGAATCAGGACTGGCATGGTGATCTCTTTTCCCCCCGTCACACCATTGACCCAACACCATCCTGTCCCCCACTTCCCATACATGGTGAGAAGAATAGCAAGGAAAGGTGGCCAGGCCCTGCTTTGTGATGCTCCAGCCACAGGACTTGGCATTGAAACACACTTTAGTGAAGTCAACACCAGCAAGCAGGAAGCTCCAGAAGCTGCTTTGGAAACTGTGGGAAAAAGGCAACCCCAGTTGGGAACACTAAACGAAACCTAGACAGATAACTTCAGATAGGAAGCAGTATACTGGCAAAGGTCTTCTAGCTGCACCCAGCCCAGGTGAGCTTATTGTTGACACCTGCTCCAGCAACTCCAAGCTTTGCTCCATGTTCTGCGACATGGGAACACTACCTTCCACCATCTGTTGTCACCCGATTAACTGTCCAAAAGCAGAAGAGGACATTGAACCTTTTCCCTGCACACTCACACAGATGCAGCCAAGCACTAGTGGTTTGGTCATGGAATTGTCCAGTGGGGAGATGGCCGCGATCGTGCCGGGGCAGGGGGGTGGAGAGGAGATAGCCACGATCTTTGTTGTTCTTTGTCACTTTGCTTCTGCACATTTTTCTGATTAAAAAAAAAAATAGTTACAGAACGGATTCACCTCATTTACATTGAACCTTATGAGGAAATTTAACTTGGCTCACAACCAATTTGGGTCACGACCAGAGTCCTGGAACAGATTAAGTTTGTGAGCAAAGGTAACACTGTATATTCATTTCTGGGCCTGACTTAAGGTGCTAGTTTAGAGACTTGCCTGCCACAAACAGGTAGACCAGCTTATATTGAGGACTACCTGCATTCGTATCAACCTACCCTTCCCTTGCCATTGCATTCTAAAACTCCTGTCTGGTTCTTAACAAAAGGGGAAGAACTTCACAAATAGAGGCTTTTCTGTGGTGACTCCATCATTTTGGAACTCTCTGCATGTTCCCTTTGTGATGGTGTTTGGCAGAACTATGAAGATGTTTGTGTTCTGGTGATCCTATATCTTTTATCGGTGTTATTTTTTATGGTTATGTATCTTAACCATATAAACAACCAACCAAATGGTTGTTTCAGTGTTAAAACTGGTTATTGTAAGCTACCCTGTAAGGGTAGGTATCCTATGGCAGGGATGCAGAACCTCAGGACTGGAGCCCATGTCAAGACTTCTGGGTTTCTTCAGAAGCCCTACAACCTTCCTAAGGCTTACGTGCTGACAATATGAGTGTTAAACTAATCTATGCTAGGTTTTTATAGGTCGTGGCAGGACTGAAGCACTTCTTTTCCCTTCACCCTTCCTGCCACTAGAATTTGGCTCCTGGGAACTTCTCAGAAATGAATACAGCCCTTGAGCCGAATGAGATCCAGTATCCCTACTTTAAAGAGTTCGAGTATTAAATCTATTTATTAAAAAATATTCTAGTGCAGCCAGAATATTTTACCCTTGTGATCTTAGCTGAGCTTCAGCCACTTCCACCAGAGTTCAATTTCCTCTTTCTTAAGTGACTTCAAGTGCAAAATAGGTGAAGCAATTGTTTTCCTTCCATGCAAATCTTTCCCTTTAATCCAGTAGTCTCTCCATGGACTTGTATTAAAAAAGAGAGAAGGTCTGCAGTCAGGAGAACAACTGATGAATGGGGCTGCTTATTATTATTATTATTATTATTATTATTATTATTATTATTATTATTA